GAGAGTCACAGAACGAATTAAGTTCGTAAACCGAGGTTCCACTGTATAAGCTTTTTCCTTGCCTCCTATTAGCGTACAGAACCTTGTATTCTCCTCCTGTGCACTTGCAAAGCAGAGTGTTGGACTCCACTCACTAAAAGGATAAAGGGTTCACTTTGTTCATCTTCAAAGGGAGTCAGAAGTGGGATGAGCAGAACACTTCTGGAGTGAATATTCCACCCCAGTGGTAAGTATCTCCACACTCTCCCTTGGGAACCTGGGGTTAGGAAAGGAAAGTGTTTGGCTCCCCACCATCTTGTGTCTCTGGTTCAGAGGGACGCCTCCACCACCATCTCTGATGTGTTTCAGGTTTGTCTAGTGTGTCAGGGAGGGCCTGGTCCAACAGTAGTAAAGCATTAGTGGAGCTCTGGGAGGTAAGAAAAAAGGCAGAGGGGAGTCCACTGAATGTATGAATGACTGTCCTTTCTGGTGATCTGCCAGGGCTGTGTGTCATCTCCTTCCTTAGCCATCCCTGCCTACAGATTAGGTGAAAGCCTCTGATCCCATAGTACCACAAGGTAAGGGAGATGGGGAACAACATGCATGCCCCCATTAGCTGTAAAAGGATGTGAGTGGCATTAAGCAGACTCATTAATATGGGATGTCCACTTTTTGAGTATCTCTCAGGGGATACTCTGGTGACAGGGACAGCCTGGAACACTCCTTTACTGCTTCCTGTATGCCTGTATGTTGTTCTGAAACTTGAGTTTTCATCAAACTTGTTATGCTTGTCCAAAATACCTTTTACCAAGTTATGGGCTACTGATTGGATCCTTTATTAACTGCTACACAAAAAGAACCCACTTTTCAATATTAATTATTGCAAACTATTATTTTGTTTTTTTCTTTCATCTATTCCTGAAATTGGTATTTTATGGCAGCATTATGGCAAATAAAAGGGTTTGATTATCATGTAGTCCCAAGGAAAGACAAAATTATAGTTCTTATTTTTTTAAAAAAAATCTCACCTTCAGTCCGCTGTTCAACCCACTGGTTAATTTCTTTTCTTGCTTTGCCTGGAGCATTTGAGAAGTCCACTGTGGATAATTCAGCTCCATACAAATTCTGAGTGCTAGTCAAGAAATCCTTGCAAAATTATAAAAAATCATCATCCCCAATGAACTACAGATCCAATTAATCTTCCTATTCTTGCTTGACAGCCTTTGCCTTCATCATTCATCCAATTATACTCTAGAATCTGTTATCTAACTCTGCATTTAAGCATGTAATAAGCACTGATTAATCAGCATAATGAACACCTCTTTCTAAAAGGGTGACATAGTCTGTACTGAAGTTCTGCCATTTCATTGTCATGATAACCATGTCTAGGCTGAAAACCCAACTAACCTGAAGAGAAAGAGTGAACTGAGTGGGGTCTTGAATCCAGGCCTCCCCAGCTCTACTTCAGTACTTTAATCATGACATCAGATTAGCATCATTTGTTAGAATGAAATGTACCTTGAACAGAACGGTCTTTGAAGAAAGTTTCTTCTTCTGAAAAGAGGTGTATATTATGCATACAATTTGTAGTCTAATTGGAAAATCTGGATATATCTAATAATGTTAGCCACAATATTTCTATATCTCACAAGAAACATAACTGTGTGTGGATAAATGAGAGAGAAAAGGAATGAACTTAGTGTATGAGCATTATTACATATTATTGCTCAATAAACTGCATATCTCACAGCAGACCTAATTAAAAGGGACTAAAGATTCACTTAAAGCAAAGAAGAACTGTATTGATGAACATCATAGTCTAATAAAATTTCAAACTGACCTATAAGTCCACTCTTAAGTTGTTGATGTTCGTTTTTTTAACAATCTACTTACCGACAAAAAGGTGTAAGTTTTTTCTCCATACAACCTATTAGCAAGCTTCAGAATATAGGGTACATTGCTCCGGTTAATCTTAGTACTGAGCGTGTGAAATACTGAATGGAGGTCTTCAACACCATCAAAATGAAGTGTCTGCATAGAAAAGATAAGTCCTAACTTAATGCCAATAAGACCAGTGAAATTAAGGTTAGTTCAAAAATAATTTTGTCTAGGAACAATGGAGACATTTCAGAAACCTATAGACCCTCCAGCATATGGTAAAACCCTGATGTGCTCACTGGACCATTCTCTGCATTTTTAGGTTTCATTTTAAAAGAGGCACATATCTAAGACTAATACTATGGGTTACACATATGCAAAGGAAAAAATGGGGATTTTCCAAAGCCTGAACTTGTTTACTGTATATTCTATCTTGGGGAAGTGACAAAACAGGTGGCTTTATTCAAACTGACTTTAGGATATCAGTTACAGAATTAGAGTAGACTACAAAACAAAGTGGTAACAGATAAAGAAAAAGTTGAATATTAGTCTCATTTTCATAACAAAGGACTTTTTGATAACACAGAGCAAGAGGATAGAGAATGTTTCCTCTGAATGCAATGGAGGGAATCGGAACATTTATTTCCCATTTGCTCACTTTGTGTGAGGGCCTGACACTGTCACTTGATGACCAAAATATTAATTCCCCACAGAGGTTGAAAGTTTGTAGGGAAAGAGCTATTGCTTTATTTATCACAGCCTAGTTGTGTGCTTGAACATTTCAGCATAGCAGCCAGTAGTTTGAATCCATAAGCTGAGTTTACTTGGGGCATAGGGAAAAAAAAGGGCATTACTTCATTGTATTTTTAGTATATCAGTTTTGTTCTTTCTTCCTTATCAGCGGATTCCATACAGGTTGGGCAACTATCTGTGGAAAATCTAAACCAGGGGTTTTCAAACTTTTTCAGGGCAGGTAACCTGTGAGTTAAAAATAAAATTCCCAGAAACTCTGATTAAGAGACCAACTCTAGTGATAGAAAATTGGCTACTTTCCTCCCCCCCCCTTACCTTACTCTCTTGGAAACTGTCTGTTCAGCAGAATGCAATGTGAAAAACCCTGGACTAAACCACAAAAGAAGGAACAATATTGACCTTGTGTCTTATTAACTTTATGAAAGTCACAACTATACCCAATTATATACTTGTATATTTATTTATATTTCAAATTTAGACACTGCCCACCTCATGAGGAAGTGACTCTGGGCAGTTTACAATAAAAACATTATATTAACGTCCTGTTAAATCCAAATGTAACTTCCCTGTTCTAGGGGTGGTGTTTCAAATATGTAACACCTAAAATACAACTGTCCTTACAAAAGAACCAGAATTCCTCACAGAAGCTACACTAAACATGGCAGAAAAATATCTGCTGACCTTTGAGAGTTGCGCGGCTGTGTTACCCTGGGCCCCTAAGAGGATCATGGCCAAGGCAGAAGATAAGCTGAGCGAAGAAAAGAAGATGTTGCCGGTTGGGTGGGCTTCGCTCAACTTTTGGAAAAGATCCAGAGCAAACTGCGAGTTTGCATTAGCCAGTTTATCCATAGCGACCGCCGGAAAGCTTGAAAACAAGGCAAAAAAGAAAAGAAAAGAAGAAAATTATTTCTGAGGCACCTTTGAAATCATCGCACCAGCACAAAGCGCAATGGCGACGAGAAAGCAAGCACAAGCTTTAAAGGGCAAGAAGCGACGGCCGCAGGGACCTCCTTACCTGCCGAGAGGAGACTGGCGGCCTTGCTGCAGGTGCGCGGGATGCGCAGAGAGCCGCGCGGCTCCCCAGGCTTGACGCTGCGGGGAAGGGAGCGCCGGGGCGGATTCCGGAGCTGGCGGGGCGGCGACGCCCTCGGACTCTGGCCTTTCCCGGCTGGTACGGAAGGTGGTCTGAACGGCGCCGGCCTCGGAAGTTGGAAGGCATGAGAGCGAGCGACGAGAATTAGGAGGAAGGGTTGGGCTGCTCTTGGTCTGCCTATATCCGAAGACAGGATATACATCTCTAACATACGCGCCTTAGCCCACATGCCACAGCTGCAGCAGCTTTGGAGAAAGACAGACGGGGGGAAGCGGGGGAGGGAGAAACTTATACCGGAACCAGAACTGCCAGGAGGAGCAGAAGCTAGGCCTGCGTGAGAAATCAACTCAAGACAACTCGCTCTTAATGTCTCCATTGGTGGAAAACATATTAGGGAAAATACCCCTAATATGTTGTTAGGGAAAATACCCCCCACCTCCAATATTTTCAGAAACTGCCCTGATAACTCTAAAGTATCCTGCACGGCTGCTTCTCAACCACATGTCAGAGAAATGGATTGTAGGTACAGTGACCATTTTCCTGGAAAAAATAAAGGACACACTTGCAAAATGGGCGAACCTGAAAGAGGTTGATAAGGATTAAAAGAAATAATTGCTTATGTTTATAATGTTGCTTTACAAAGGAAAATTTAAGAGCAAAACCAAGAAAATAAATCTAAAGGACAGCTTTCCAAAATAAAGGACTGTCCTTTATAACAGGGTCCCTCAACCTTGGCAACTTGAAGATCTGTGGACTTCAACTCCCAGAATTCCCCAGCCAGCCATGAAGTCCACACATTTTCAAGTTGCCAAGGTTGAGGAACTCTGCTTTATAATATAGGATGTATGGTCATTGTAAGTATAGACCATTACCTTTATTCCTCCAACCACTTTGCAGCAAATCATTTAAAGAACCTAACATCTAGGATCTGGAGTCCAGGAAATCCAAGGGGCATCGTTGAGAAGAAAACATCAGTGGCACACCATTTCCAGACTAATGCTACAAAAACTCCGTGAATGAGTTCAAATCAAGGGAGACTTTATCTTTCCTTTATCCATACAGCCACCAGGAGTCAAAAACTGACTCAAAGATACCAAAACAAACAAAATTCCTTAATTCCTCAATTCCTTCCTTTCCTTTCCTTTCCTCCCTCCTTCCTGTGCAAGGGGGAGAAATTGATTCATAACTTCTGGAAAACTGAATACCTTTCCATCCTTCCAAATGTTGTGCTTTGGATTAGAGAAAACATGTGAACAAGATACACATAACCCCCGTACAGAGAGAATAAATTTTGATACTGCAACTATAAACTTGTTGGCTGGTGTGGGTCTTCCGGGCTGTGAGGCCGTGTTCTGGAAGTTTTGTTTCCTAATGTTTCGCCAACACCTGTGACCAGCATCTTTAGAGTGCAGGAGCACAGACAGGAGCAGTTCTCTCTGTGCCTACTCTCTCTATATGAACTTGCCTACTCTCTCTTTCAAGCTACTGCAGCTGATGGCTACCCCAACATTTAGCACCAGGCACAGCCTGAAATGAACTGAAAATTGGGCCTTGCCCTCTTGAATCTCTGCCAGAGGAAGTCATATTACTCACAGCCTTATCAGTTGCCCTGACCACGTCACCTACGGATGGAATTACACTATGTAATTGAATGTAATCAATGTCCGCTTCAATGACTTTTTGCATCTTTCCAAAATAGGGAAAAATATTGGTCAACCCAGTGATACTAACTATACTTGCAGAAAGCCAAGCAAAGATGTTAAACAGGGCAGAAGGTATTAGACCTAATACCTGCCATCCACAATTGATCAGAACATAAGCACGACCATGGTAGGCTACGCACCTATTTTAACTACACACAGGTCTATAAAGAGTCAGCATAATACTTTACATACACAATAGTTACTAGATCTCAACTAGTTGTTTCCAAACCTTTTCATCATACCTGATATAATTAAGTTCAATTTCATAGGCATTTCTTTCAAATGACATGTAGATATGGGTACAATTGACTATGCCCCTGGTTTAGCTGTTATGTTTTGATTTATATTGATATACTTGCACCATATAAGAGAAGCCTTACTGGATCAGACTAAGGTCTATCTAGTCCAGTGTTCTGCAGCAGAATGCCAACACATGCCTACAGGGAATCCACTGGCAGCATAAGAGTGCAATAGCATCCTGCGATTTATCTAATTATAGCAATCATGATCACCAGTCTTTAATTGATTTCACAATCATATGTCAAATCAGAAGGGAAGGAGAACTGCTTGACTGATAAAATCTGACAAATGGCAGGAGGCAGAATTGCACTTTACCAACTTCATGATGGAGGATTCTTAATTGCACTCCTTTTCAGCACAATTTGTACGCCTTTTATCCTTCACAAATATTATATACAAAATTCATTCGTGTGGCTTGGTTTAAGAAATAACAGCATAGCAGTATGGAGAAACACCGTTGAATGATCATCCAGCAATAGAAATAACCACACCAAGCAAGCAGCCTCTCTCAGAAGCATGCTTCAGAACCAGGACATCATAACCAAGGTTGTTGCTACTCGCATTACTTTTGAATTAATTTTCTATAGAACCATGCAATCAGATTTCATTGTGGACAACAAATGACAGAGGGCTTCAGTTTATGCCACTGAATGTGCTCCATTGTACTTGCAACATCAATTGAAGCTTTTAAATTTTCATTAAGGATCTCATGACCTCAGTAACTGTTCAAACAAAATTCTATCATCTCCAGATTTATATAAATTTAACAAAATTCAGAGAAGGGAAGATTATTTAGTCCTCTTCAACTTTTGTTAAAATTCGAAGGAGCTTCTAGGCTATTTTGTTCCAACTTTCTAATGTAGATACCCCAATCCAGCATCTTTCTATTCCTTTTCCCCAATCTATAATCTTATATTGAAGACCTCAGTCATTCTTTATTTTTTGTGTCACTGGCTCTCATTTTATAATAACTATTATGTAAGATAAAAGCCCTGCTCTTGTTTAGAGCTGGGCTAACATACACTGGAATACAGTCTTTCAGCACATTTGCCATTTTCATCTGTTAAAATGTGTGATTTGTTTAGTTTTGGCTTAATGTTGCATAATCTCATTCTATTGCAATATAGTTAATAAATGATGGTTAAGCAAACTATGGTTTAATATGTTTGAATCCAAACACTGAAATTCAAACCTCTCTTTTTTTCCTGCTTCAGTCATTAACTATGAAGCAAGGTTGTTTTTTTAAAAAAGGAAATTTGATTATCAGCAGTATCTCTTATGTCCTTTAAATAGGATACTGATTACTATCAGTAAGAATTAGCTGATAGATGTTACTCTTAAGACTTTGACCTTGTCCCCTAGAGCACATCATGAATGATTCATTTCTGCTCATTTATTTCTGTTTACTCATCTTGCTTAGCAACTGTCCACTGGCTTCAACAGCAGAATTTAGTAACAAATGGATTATAACACAAACATGATACTTTTTAATCAAATTGCAATATTGGGTATGTATGCCACTCAGCCTACTATGAGCAGAGAAGCCTACAAGCCCAATAAATAAAATAAATAACAAAAGTAATGATTGCAAACAAAATTTTGATAATACTGATATCAAACATTGCATGAAACAATAGGCATGGTTGCCCTTTTATCACAACTTCATTTAGCAACACTGTTTGGATAGGAAGTCATGGGGAAAAGGAAGCAGATAAATCAAGATACTGCCATTTTGATATGGGCATTGATATCACTCTTGTATATAAGGCACAAATGTTAACTAAGAACTAAATCTTCATTTAGATGCTAAGAGAAGGAATATATTGATCCACAGCAACAATACAAATGAGACTACGTATCTCTTAAAGCAAGCTAATAACCCCCCAAAAATGAATGGATGACTATCAAGTAAACAAGGAGGTACTTGTGGCACTTCATGCAGTCTGCTTCTTTATGAAAGTGTAGGTCCAAGTACACACTTAACATATTGACAAATTCTATTGTGTACAAACAATATTTTAATAGATTGCCCAATTAGCCTAAGTTGACTAAATCACCACCTGCCACTTCTAAAGGGAATATTTTCCATTAATGAACACATTTTTTTTCAACTGTTCAGTGTACTTTGTCTCTTATACACAGAACTGCCAAAAAGATCTTTAATTAATTAGCGCATTCATTGGTAGATTTGCGTGCGCGCGCGTGTGCGCCTTTGAGTCAGTGTTGACTCATGACAACTGCCTGGACTAGTCCCTGCAGCTTTCTTGGCAAGATTTCAGAAATGGTTTCCTTACTAGGGTTGAGAGAATATGACTGGCTCAAGGTCACCCAGTTGACTTTGTGCCTAAGGCAGGATAAACTCAGTCTCCTGGTTTCTGGGCTTAACCACTACGTCAATGATTCCAAATGAAGTCCTTCCCTTGGGTGTGGCAGCCGCAAAAGAAAAGAAAAATGTTGGTAAGATTTAGGAGGGGTAGATGGACCAGTGGGATATACCATGCTGTGATGGAGAAAAGGAGAGAGGGGGCAACACCTGCCAGCCTTCTCACCCACCTTTCCCTATTCATTATTAAAATAAGCCTTTAATTTAATGGATATTTGGCCTAAATGGATATCCATTCCATCCTGTTAATCCAATAAATCAAATTTACTATAATACAATTTGTGCCTAACTGATTATCAATTTCAGTGATATAGGAGCTGAATAATGTAGGGGCTCTATCACCACCCCAGCTGTTAATAAATCTGACAGCAACACAATCAAATGCTCTTTTATTTCAATTTTGAACACATGAAAAGCTGCACCACAATAAGAATTATATAAGGTAAATATCATTTGTAGATATTTGAGCTGCATACAAATTGCTTGATTAAATGATCCATACATTTGAGTTCCAAGACAGGATTCATACTTGTCAACTACAGTATTTATGACCAGAAAAATGTGTGTCCAGGACATGTGTATTCTTCCAGCACTGTTTACCCTTATTATAAGCTCAGCAGAGGCATCCACAGCTAGCCATGACATCACCAAAATGACAAAAACATGATGTCACAATGCAAGCTGAGCTGTCTGTACTTGTATCATCACATGGAAATGTATATGGGACAGATACATAGATTCATCTATGTTGTGATCTCATGATTCATGCTTTGTAACTTGTCCTCCACACCCCAGATACCCATAAATCTCAAATAAATTTTGCAGGATTTATCTGCCAATCTGAACACTAGCAACTTGTACTAAAAATTCTTTTCTTGAATTCATTAAAGCCGTATTACAATCTTCTTGAATAGCTGGACTACAATTCTGTCCTGGAAGGGCTTAAAGTCCAGTATGACTAGAAGAAACTATCTATATTCAAAATAGAGAGAAAATCAAAAGCGTGGTGGTGAAAGTTCAGTACAACATGGCTTATAAAAATCTGATGAGGAATGAAGGGTCAGCCATTTTATCAATATATACAAGATTTGTCCCCTATGGAGAAATATACCTACCAAAGAACAGAATGCTATTTGTAGAACGGTGCTTAATAAAAAAGAGGAAGGGATGGTCAACCTTGAATTCTGGCACAAAGTGGGCACACCTCAACATCATAACTGCAGCAGTGGCAGCAGCTGCCTCAGTGCCTTCTTCGTTGACTTCTATGAATGATTTGTGAACAACTTCAGACAGGACTAAATCACTGTTAGCTGACATTCCAGAGAAGTTTGACTTGCCCTGATCAAATGCATCTGTCATTCCCATGCTTCTAAGAACAGGCTTCAGGTCGTATTTTTCCTCCAGTTTAAATTTGGGAAAGGAGAGTTCAATTTCTCTTAGGTCCATCATCTCTGGATTGAGCCAATCAATGAGTTTCTCATAAGTAATTTCTCTCTCCAGCTAAAATAAGATGAATATGAAGCATTAAAGGAGAAAGGAATTCCTGGTTATATGTTTACATTATGGCATTATGACTTATCCTGATAAGAAATATGAAGCACTTATCACATTGATGGAAAAATCCCCAAGTCTTACAAAACACTTGCAAGCTTTTGTATTTGGCATTTCCAAGTACATTAGGAAAGCTAATCAAAAATCAGAAAAATAGGGCAGATCTTAGAACCACATCTGTACCTGTTTTCTTAATAGTGACAGGGACCCTCTAGCTAACCCTGTACCTGATAACTAAGTCTTATCTGGTACAGAGTACTGTTAGAGTGCAAGGGCAAATCACTTCTGAAAATGTTGCCACGCAAACTTCCTGGATTTGTCCAGACAGTTGCCAGAAGTTAAGACTGACTAAGGCACATACCCATACACAAAATAAATAATGTCAGCTGAGCGTGTTTATTTCTTCCTTCAATCTACTAATCTTGGTAGCTATTCCAACATTTAACACTATAAATTGAAGAACTGAAAATTGAGCCTTGACCCCTTGCATCTCAGTACTGTCAGAGGAAGTACTGTATATTATTGGCAACCCTATCAACTGCCTTGTCCACGTCAACTACTGATTAAATTACACTGTGTATACAACAGTTTGAGACATAACTACATTAGCTAGCACTTCTGCAACTTTTTGCATCTTTCCAAAATAGGGGAAAATACAAGTCAACCCAACGCTACCAACTAGAACTGCAGAAAGTCAAGCTTCAACATTAAAAAGGACAGCGTACAGAGATGTTTTCTGATGGACAAGGGTTTTAGATTCTGTTTCATGAAAAAGCCTCACCTTTTCCAATCCAGTAGAGTTATCTTCAATCTTATCAGGAAGCAGAATGATCATGCTCAACTCATTATCAATATATGGCAATTCAAGAATTGCAGTACGATAGTCTGATATGTAGCTCATGTTGTACTTAGCTTTCTTGAGCATCATCTGTACCGTTTTGCTTTCATTCTACAAGTGAGGAAAATACATGTTAAAAGAAATATTTGAAATAAGTTGCAAAAAAAATAATTCTTGTTTAGTCTTGGTTTCCCCACCCCCCGCTTAAATCTTTCATCTTTTGCTTTAATTTGATTATTTGAATCAAACTGTATTGAGTATTTATATTGTGTGAGTATTTTTATCATATCTCAGCCATCCATCAATTTTTTCAATCTTTACACATAGCGGGAATTTAGTTTTCACAGAATTTGAATTATTTTAGAATATTAAGAATTAGATTTAGGAACCAGATAAGCAGAGATTATGACTCTTGGAAAAATTATACCTGAAAGAATTATCAATTCTGTGAGCAAAAAATGCAATGAAACAATGGCCTGTGGTTTTAAACAGCAGTTTTCTCAAATCAACAGATTTTTATAATATGGGAAATCAAAACTAGTCTTCTTCACGGAGGGCAACATAGAAACATATTGTGCCTGTTTCTCCTCCATCTAATATCTCTGGGTTTGTTTGTTTTTTATCCGCACTCAATCGTCACCGATTCTGTGGTGACTGCCTGGACGAGTCCCTGCAGTTTTCAAGGCAAGGTGTTTCGGAAGTGGTTTGCCTTTGCCTCCTTCCTAGAGCAGAGCCGAGGTGGCGAGCGCAGGAGGCAGGGTTTCC